AAAATGGCCAAGCTTGGTGGCTGATGCCTGTAATCCCAGCACTTTGGGAGGCCGAGGCAGGCGGATCACCTGAGGTCAGGAGTTTGAGACCAGCCTGACCAATGTGGAGAAATTCCATCTCTACTAAAAATACAAAACTGGCCAGGGGTGCTGGTACATGCCTGTAATCCCAGCTACTTAGGAAGCTGAGGCAGGAGAATCACTTTAACCTGGAAGGTGGAGGTTGTGGTGAGCTGAGATTGCACAATTGCACTCCAGCCTGGGCAACAAGAATGAAACTCCATTTCAAAAAAAAAGCTTAAAAACAAGTCTTAATAGGAATAAGCTGATCAGTAACTCCCTCTAAAAACAAAGTCTAGCATCCAATCAAAAGTTGCAAACAGGAAAATCTTACCTAAAAGCAGGAAAGAAATCAGTCAAAAGAAACAGACATGGAAGTTACTTAGATAATGAAATTGGCAGACATAGACTTTAAAGTAACTGTAATAGTCTGGGCGCTGTGTCTCGCGCCTGTAATCTGTAATCCCAGCACTTTGGAAGGCCGAGGAGGGCAGATCATGAGGTCAAGAAATCAAGACCATCCTGGCAACATGGCGAAACCCCGTCTCTACTAAAAAATACAAAAGTTAACTGGGTGTGGTGGCACGCGCCTGTAGTCCCAGCTACTCGGGAGGCTGAGACAGGAGAATTGCTTGAACCCAGGAGGCCGAGGTTGCAGTGAGCCAAGATTGCACCACTGCGCTCCAGCCTGGCGCCTGGTGACAGAGCAAGACTGTCTCAAAAAAAAAAAGTAGCTGTTATAAATGCTATGAATGTGCTCAAGGATTTAAGTGAAAACAAGCAGTCATAAAATATATAAAAGGGAAGAAATAAAATATATAAAAGAGAACAAAAGTATCATGGCAAGACGTGGGGAAGGGGGTGGGGTGGTGATGGCTCATAGCTGTAATCCTAGCACTCTGGGAAACTGAGACAGATGGATCACTTAAGCTCAGGAGTTTGAGACCAGCCTGGCCAGTATATTGAAACCCAGCTCTACTCAAAGTACAAAAATTATCCAGGCATGGTGGCGCATGCCTGTAGTTCCAGCTACTCAGGAGGCTGAGGCAGGAGAATCCCTTGAATCCAGGAGGCAGAGGTTGCAGTGAGCTGAGATTGTGCCACTGCACTCCAGCCTGGGTGACAGACTGAGACTGTGTCTCAAAAGATTTTTTTTTACTAAAAGAACGAAGTAACACTTTTAGAGATAATATAGTATCTGAAGTACAAATTTTACTGGGTGGGATGAATAACAGCTTAGATAGTGCCAAAGAAAAGATCAGTGAACTTAAAGATACAGCAATAGAAACAGTCCAGACTGAAGCACAGAGAGAAAAAATAATGAATGAACAAAGTATCTGACCTCTGGGACAAAATCAGGTATTAGACATACCTGCAAGTGGAGTTGTAGTAGAAGACTGATGGAGGGAAGAGGTCAAAGAGAAAAAAAATTGAAGAAATAGGCTGGGCATGGTGGTTCATGCCTGTAATCCCAGCGCTTTGGGAATCTGAGGCAGGCAGATCATGAGGTCAGGAGTTTGAGACCAGGCTGGCCAACATGGTGAAACCCCATCTCTACTAAAAGTACAAAAATTAGCTGGCATGGTGGTGCTCACCTGTAATACTAGCTACTCAGGAGTCTGAGGCAGGAGAATTGCTTGAACCTGGGAGGCAGAGGTTGTAGTGAGCTGAGATCGTACCACTGCACTCCAGCCTGGGTGACAGAGCCAGATTGCACCTCAGGGAAAAAAAAATTTTTTTTTGAAGAAATAGTGGCTTAATTTTTTGGTTATATTTATGAAAACTGTAAATTCATCAATCCAAAAAGTTCAGTAAACTCAAAGAAGGCTATACAAAGAATTTCACACTGAAAGTGTGTCATAATTAAATTGCTAAAAACCAGTGAAAAAGAGAAATATATCAAAACAGAACTTTAAAACGTACATTACACACAGGGGAACAAATATAGAATCTTTAGATTTCTTACCAGAAAAAAAATGCAAGCCTGGTGCAGTGCTTCCTGCCTGTAATCCCAGCTAGTCTGGAAGCTCAGGTGAGAAGATTGCTTGAAGCTGGGAGCTCGAAAGCAGCTTGGGTGCCGTAGCAAGATCCTGGCTCTATTTTAAAAAAGGCCAGGTTTGGTGGCTCACACCTGTAATCCCAGCACTTTGGAAGGCTGAGGTGGGTGGATTCAGAGGTCAGGAGATCGAGACCATCCTGGCTCACATGGTGAAACCCCATCGCTACTAAAAATACAAAAATTAGCTGAATGTGGTGGTGCGCACCTGTAGTCCCAGCTACTCTGGGGGCTAAGGCAGGAGAATCGCTTGAGCCTGGGAGGTGGAGGTTGCAGTGAGTTGAGATCGCGCCACTGAACTCCAGCCTGGGAGACAGAGCAAGACTCCATCTCAAAAATAAAAAACCTGGTCATGGTGGTGCATGCCTGTATTCCCAGTACTCGGGAGGCTGAGGTGGGAGGATCGCTTGAGCCCAGGAGTTCTGGGCTGCAGTGCGCTATGCTGATCAGGTGTCCGCACTAAGCTTGGCATCAGTATGGTAACCTTCCGGATGCGGGGGGCCACCAGGTTGCCTAAGGAAGGGTGAACTGGCCCAGTTCGGAAACAGAGTGGGTCAAAACTCCCATGCTGATCAGTAGTGGGATCAGGCCTGTGAATAGCCACTGTACTCCAGCCTGGGCAACATAGCAAAACCCGTCTCTTTAAAAAAAAAAAAATGGAGCAATGCAAGGCAGAAGACAATGAAATGACATCTTAAGGGGGCTAAAAGATTTTATTTAAATTTCAAATCAGAATTTTATATGCAATGAAAATAATCTTTGAAAATTGAGAGTAAGGCTGGGCTCAGTGGCTATGCCCTATAACCTAGCCCTTTGGGAAGCTGAAGTGGGAGATCACTTGAATCCAGCAGTTTGAGACCAGACTGGGCAACAAAGTGAGACCCCCATCTCTACGGAAAAAAAAAAAAGAAAGAAAGAAAGAAAGAAAAAACTAGACATTGGTAATACATGCCTGTAGTCCGAGCTACACAGGAGGCTGAGGCAGGAGGATAGCCTGAGCCCAGGAATTCAAAGCTGCAGTGAACCACGATCATGCACTCCAGCCTGGGTGACAGAGTGAGACCCTGTCTCAAAAATAAGAAAGAAAAAGGAAAAAAAACCTGAAAGTAAAATAGAATTTTTCAGGTAAACAAAAACTAAATGAATTTAGTGCCAACAAACCTGTGCTACAAGAAATATTAAAGGAAGTTCTTTAGGCAAAAGGAAAACTGCATTTTCCAGATACCAGATGGAAACTTGAATCTACAAAAAAAATGAAGAGTGCCAACTGTGGTTAAATATAAAAGAGATATTTTTCCTTGTGCTTTTTTTTTTTTTAATTTTTGTTTTTGAGACAGAGTCTCACTCCATCACCAGGCTCCAGGCTGGAGTGCAGCGGCGCGATCTCAGCTCACTGCAACCTCCGCCTCCCAGGTTCAAGCAATTGCTTCAGCCTCCCGAGTAGCTGGGACTCCAGGCACAAGCCACCATGCCCAGCTAATTTTATTTATTTTTAGTAGAGACAGGATTTCACCATGTTGGCCAGGATGGTCTTGATCTCTTGACCTCGTGATCTGCCTGCCTTGGCCTCCCAAAGTGCTGGGATTACAGGCGCGAGCCACCGCGCCCAGTTTTCCTTGTGCTTTTAACTTTTTAAAGATAATTTTTATTTTTTAATTATTTTTTCAAATTTAATGTAAATTCAGGAAGGTACATGTGCAGGTTTGTTACAAGGGAGGTTTGGGTCTGAATTGAACTCATCACTCAGGTAGTGAGCATAGTACCTTGTAGGTGGTTTTTCAACCCTTATCTCTCTCCCTCCCTATACTTGTAGGCCCCACTGTCTATTGTTCCCATTAAAAGATAAATTTTAAGGAAAAGATTAATAAGCAATATGGAGTTTTTAACATATGTAGAAGTAAAATGTTTAACAGCAGTAGCACAAAAAACAATGGAAGTGTACTGTTAGTGTTCCGACATTATACATGCAGTTGTATACTGTTTTATTTTTATTTATTTATTATTTTTTTTTTAGATGGAATTAACACTCTTGTTGCCCAGGCTGGAGTGCAGTGGTGCAGTCTCAGCTCGCCGCAACCTCCACCTCCCAGATTCAAGCCATTCTCCTGCCTCATCCTCCCGAGTAACTGGGATTATAGGCGCCCACTACCACACCCAGCTAATTTTTGTATTTTTAGTACAGATGGGGTTTCACCATGTTGGTTTGGCTAGTCTCAAACTCCTGACCTTGTGATCTGCCTGCCTTGGCCTCCCAAAGTGCTGGGATTACAGATGTAATCCCAGCTGCCGTGCCCATCCAAAGTTGTATAATGTTAAAGGTAATCTGTTAGGTTAATAATGCATGTTGTAAATCTTAGAGCCGCCACTAAAGAAATAATAAGAAATATAGCTAAAAAGCCATTAAAAGAAATAAAACACAATGCTGAAAAAAAGTACAAAAGAAAACAGAAAAAAGGTTGGGTGAGGTGGCTCATGCCTATAATCTCAACACTTTGGGAGGCCGAGGTGGGCAGATCACCCGAGGTCAGGAGTTCAAGACCAGCCTTGCCAACATGGGGAGACCCCATCTTTAAAAGAAAAAAAGTTATAATGACTATGTGACATCAGAAAAGATACAAAAGAACGATTTTTTTTGTTTGTTTTCCACCAAAGGAATTTTTATTTCTTGCTTTTAAACAAAATAAGATGCTCTCAGAGCTTCACCCCTGCCCCTCCCCCCCCACTATGTTGCCCAGCAGGTCTCAAACTCCTGGCCTCAAATGATCCTCCTGCCTCAGCCTCCCAGGGTGCTGGGATTATGGTGTGAGCCACTATAACCAGCCCAGAGAACTTTTTTTTACTGCAGAAAACATTCTGGGGCCCATGCCACTCCTTCTCCAGCATCCATGCCCAGCTCTTCCTTACCATACCTGCCTGGAAATCCTGAATGGTACCCTCTCATCGGTGAACATGGACCCCCTGGGCTCACCTTTACCCTGATTTTCACTTAGCCCCTCTGGGCTAAACGTCAAAGGCCCAGAAAACAAGCAGAGGTAGAACTTCTTTGCTTTGGCACTGTTGGGGTAGTCTACCACCATGCCACCGGAGGAGCCCACCTTTGTGGCCTGTATTGTGATCAGCCCCAACAGCTCTGAGTTCTCAGGTTACAGCTGCAAGACAGCTTGGGATCCCTGGACAAGAACAGAAAAAAGAGAAGCTAAAAAGCAGTACAGGTGCTTGGCAGGATATTCAGATTTCTTGTTAGCATTACAGAACCACTGCACAGCAGAAATGCTGCTGCAACCATCGGATGTGCCTGGCTTGAAATGGATGCCCTGGCCCATGTGCCCCAAAAGCAGGTCTCCCTCTATATCTCAGTCCACAGCCTCATCCTGCATGGCAGGGCTGATATCCAGACCTACCCAATAGTGCCCTTCATTTGAGAGAAAACCTCCACTCAGCCCAGTTCCACAGCCAGTATCCAGCAGGTAACAGGGCTTATTCTCTGGCAGATCAAGAAGCTCCAATGCTCGCCCAGCCATCGTGGTCTGGATATCAGTCATCTGTGAGTTGGGAACGTATTTCCAGGCTTTTTTCTTGTCATAAAACAGCTCCAGGGGTCTGCCATGCTCTGGCCACCAGCCGCAGGACACCATCCTCACACCTCAGCTGCACACTTGCCATTTTTTTTGTTTTGAGCAGAGTTTTGCTTTGTGGCCCAGACTGGATTGCAGTGGCACAATCTCAGCTCACTGCAACCTCTGCCTCCTGGGTTCAAGCAATTCTTGTGCCTCAGCCTCCTTTGTAGCTGGGGTTACAGGCTTCCGCCACCATGCCCAGCTGATTTTTTGTATTTCAGTAGAGACAGGGTTTTACCATGTTGCCCAGGCTGGTCTTAAACTCCTGAGCTCAGGCAGTCCTCCCATCTGCCTCCCAAAGTGCTAGGCTTACAGGCATGAGCCCCCACGCCCAGCCTGAAAAAGGAATATGGTCAGGACTAAAAGGAGAGATTTTGTAATAAAGGTCACTTCATCAAGAAGAGAAAATGATCCTAAATGTGTATGTACCCAGTAACAGTTTCAAAATATGCAGAGCCAAAACTGACACACAAGTCCACAATTATAGGTAGAGATTTCATTTTCCTGTCTCAGTAGTTTACAAAAAAATGATAGGTGAGAACATAGATTTGGCCAACATGATTAATCGACTTTGCCTAATTTAAATTTAGAGACTCTTTACCCAATAATATCAGAATACATATTCCTTTCAAGTATGAATGATGCATTTACCAAGATAGACTATAACCTGGACCATAAATATTTATTTATTTTCTCAATACATTTTAGAAGATGGTAATTAATATTATCACTAACCAAATATAATTAAATTACATATTAATAACAGAATGACATCTGAAGCTCTTCAAATATTCGAAATAAAAAACATTTTTTAAAAAAATTCATGAGTTAGAGAAAGAATCGAGCAAAGATTGGACACATTTTAAACTAAATGAAAATATAGCATATCACATCTGTGCTATTCAACTAAAACAGTGCTTAGAGGAGAATTTATAGTTTAAATGCTTATATTAGAAAAGGAAGTTCAATATCAATTGTATAGCCATCTGCCTGAAGAAGACAGAAAAAGTAGAGCAAATTAAATCCAAGTAGGTTAAATGACTTAATAAAGATAAAAAGAAAATCAGGCTGGGCCTGGTAGCTTACACCTGTAATCCCAGCACTTTGGGAGGCCGAGGTGGGCAGATCACCTGAGGTTGGGAGTTGAAGACCAGCCTGCCCAACATGGAGAAACTCTGTCTCTACTAAAAATAAAAAATTAGCCAGGCTTGGTGCCACATGCCTGTAATCCCAGGTATCAAGGAGAATCCCTTGAACCTTGGAAGTAGAGGTTGCAGTGAGCTGAGATCATGCCATTGCACTCCAGCTGGGGCAACAAGAGTGAAATTCTGTCTCAAAAAAAGAAAGAAAAAACAATCAGACCAGGTGTGGTGGCTCTGTAATCCCAGCACTTAAGGAGGCCGAGATGGGCGGATTACCTGAGGTCGGGAGTTTGAGACCTGCCTGTCCAACGTGGAGAAACCCCATCTCTACTAAAAATACAAAACTGCCGGGCGTGGTGGCTCATGCCTGTAATCCCAGCACTTTGGGAGGCCGAGGCGGGCGGATCACGAGGTCAAGAGATCAAGACCATTCTGGCCAACATAGTGAAACCCCGTCTCTACTAAAATATAAAAATTAGCTGGGCATGGTGATGCGCATCTGTAGTCCCAGCTACTCGGGAGGCTGAGGCAGGAGAATTGCTTGAACCCAGGAGGTGGAAGTTGGCAGTGAGCCAAGATCATGCCACCACGCTCCAGCCTGGAGCCTGGTGATAGAGCAAGACTCTGTCTCAAAAAATATAATTAAAAAAAAAAAAACAAAACAAAACTAACCGGGTGTGGTGGCGCATGCCTGCAATCTCAGCTACTCGGGAGGCTAAGGCAGGATAATTGCTTGAACTCAAGGAGGTGGAGGTTATGGTGAGCCGAGATTGAAATAAAAGACAGATTAGGAAAAATCATTGAAACCAAATGCCGACTCTTTGAAAAGATCAATTTAAAAAACTCCTAGCTAGACTGATCAAGAGAAAAAAGGAATAGATACAAATTACAAATGCCAGTAAAAAGTGAGAGGACACTACTACAAATCATGCAGTTAGTTAAAAGATAAAAATGAAATATGAGAAATATGAATGACTTTAGGCCAATACATTTTGTAACACGAGGCTGAAATGGACAAGTTGCTTGAAAGATTAAAATTGCCAAATTGATCCAAGAAGAAATAGAAAACTAGAATCGCCCAAATATAATTTTAAAAATTGAATTTGCAATTGAAAATCTTGCCACAACAAAAACTTAAGGACCAGGTTATTACATTGGCAAATACTACCATGCTAATCCTCTTCATATTATTTTGTTGTTGTTGTTGTTGTTGTTTTCTTGAGACGAAGACTTGCTCTGTCACCCAGGCTGGAGTGCAGTGGTACGATCTCAGCTCACTGCAACCTACGCCTCCCGAGTTCAAGGGATTCTCTGCCTCAGCCTCCCAAGTAGCTAAGATTACAGGCACCCGCCACCATGCCTAGTTAATTTTTGTATTTTTAGTAGAGACGGGGTTTCATTATCTTGGCCAGGCTGGTCTGGAACTCCTGACCTCATGATCCATCCACCTCGGCTTCTCAAAGTGCTGGGATTACAGGCGTGAACCACCATGCCCAGCCTCCTCTTCAAATTCTTTCTTGCTCACTCTTGTTCTTACTCTCTTGCTCTGTTGCCAAGCTGGATTATAGTGGCACAATCTTGGCTCACTGCAGTCTCCACGTCCTGGGTTCAAGCAATTCTCCTGCCTCAGCCTCCTGAGTAGCTGGGATTACAGGTATGCGCTACCATGCCCAGCTAATTTTTGTATTTTTAGTAGAGAAAGGGTTTCACCATGTTGGCCAGGCTGGTCTCGAACACCTGACCTCATGATCCACCTGACCTCATGATCCGCCTGCCTCAGCCTCCCAAAGTACTGAGATTACAGGTGTGAGCCACTGCACCCCGCCCATATCCTTTCTTAACTCATTTTATGAGGCTGCTGTTACATATTTACCAAAATTGGTCAGAGAGACATGAGAAAAAAAAAAAAAGCTACAGAGCAATATCCTTTATGAAATATGTGTTAAAACTTTTAACACATTTTACCAAATTGAATTTCGCAATAGATAAAAACAAGAGTACATGAAAAGTACATTTTAAAAGGGTGAATTTTATGTTATATGGTATGGTACCATATAACAATGAAGCTGTTACTTAAAAAAGAAGGAAGAGGTAAGAATGACAAAAAGAAGACCAAAAAAGAACAAAAAGGGTCATGCATCACCATTGGGATTTATCTCAGGAGTACATGGATGGTGCAACATTGGAACATGAACCAGTATAACTAATTTCATTAACTAAACTAAGAAAACATGCATAATCAGCTGAATAGATCCTGGAAAAGCATTCAATAAAATTTAGGATACATTAGTGATAAAAATCAATCAGCAATGTAGGAAAGCAAAATAGTATAGCTAGTTTGGAAAACAGTGGCAACTGCTTAGAAAATTAAGTAGACACTTAACATACAATCTCAACTCTTAGATATTTGCCAAAGGGGAATGAAAACATGTTCTCACAAAGATTTGTACCTGAATATTTATTGGAGCATTATAGCAGACAAACCCCAGAAGCAACCCAAATGTTTGTCAACTAGTGAATGATAAACAAATTGTGATATATCCATTCAATGGAATGCTACTCCAAATGAAAAGGAGCAAACTACTGATATATACAACACTTAAGTTAATGATGACAGGCACAAAAGACTACATCACTGTGTGTTTTCACATATATGAAATGTGAAAAAACCAAAGCTATAGCTTACAAAAATCCAATCAGTGGGTTGCCAAGGGGTGGTGGAGAAGACTGACTCCAATAGGGACACAAAGAAACTTTTGGGAGTTGTGGAAATGTGTGTATTAGAATTGTGTTTGTGCTTATTAGAATGAATATTGTGCAACTGGAATATTGATGAATTTTATATATGTAAATGAGTCTTTTAAAATATAAGTGTTTTTCAAAGCAAAAGCAAACTAACTCAGCAAACTGGGAATACAGAAGAATTTCTTTGGCCTGATAGAAGGACTCTATGAAAAAGTAATAGTTAACGTATTTAGTGGGGGAATATTTTCACTCTAAGATTGGAAGTAATGTAAGGATGTACACTGTCACAAGTTCTACTCTGTGTTATACTGCTAGTCCTAATTAGTACAGTAACGTTAGGAGGAAAGAAAATACATGCATATTAGAAAAGAGGAAATAAAACTTTTTTTCTTGTATAAAATGTTTAGTAGTTTGTTTCTTGGTAGATCTAACATAATCCACCAAAAGCTAATAGAAGTGGCAAGTGAAATTAGCAAGGCCATGCATGGGCTATGAGATAAGTATACAAAAGTCAATTGTGTTATAGTATAATAGTAAAGAATATTTTGAAATGGGTTTTAAAAAATGATTCACAATTCTACCCAAAAACATGCAATATTGAAGGATACATTTTAAAAAATGTATAAAATCTGTACATTGAAAATGGCAAATAATTGGAGAGAAATTAACAAAATTAAGAAATGGAATGAGCTACCATAATCATATGTTGGAACATATATATTTTTAGAGACAGGGGCTCACCATTTTTCCCAGACTGGTCTCTATCTCCTGGGCTCAAGCGATTCACTCATCTTAGCCTCCCAAAGTGCTGATATTACATCAGTGAGCCACAGATCCTGGCATACATTCAATATTTTTAAGGTGGTACCTCCTCCCAGAGAGCTATAGATTCACTGCAATGTCAATCAAAATCTCAATAGCCTTTTTTGTAGAAGTTGGCAATTTGGTTCAAAAATTACATGGAAATGTAAAAGAGCTAGAGTTCCTAAAACAATTTTCCTTTTTTTTTTTTTTTTTTGTTTGAGACGGAGTCTTGCTCTGTCGCCCAGGCTGGAGTGCAATGGGGCAATCTTGGCTCACTCAACCTCCACATTCCAGGTTCAAGCAATTCTCCTGCCACAGCCTCCCCAGTAGCTGGGATATCAGGTGCCCA